AAACTGAATGGATGAAATTATATATTGTCGGCACGTAGGGAAAACTTAAAATTGAAAAAAAAAAAAAAAAACTTTTGGTCAAGTCTGTTCAACTGCCTCCCAGTATATATAAGGGAAATTACCAATAAACCCTTGCTGTCTTCAAGAGGGAACTGGACTGATACCTAAAATCAGTAGTAGCTGATTAGCCGGGCTGTGGTTCGTACATTGGACTGCATGCAGCCTGTAGTAATTGCCTGGTTGATCAGGTCCTGATCCACCGCGAGGCTTGGTTATGGACCGGGTCACGGGGGCGTTGATTCCAGGAATACCTTCCAGGTAGACTCCAGAAATAGGAAGCATATGCAACATGTGGGCAACTATATTTAAAAGACCTTTCGCCCACTGTCATTCTAGATAAAATGGTATGCGATACCTAAACGTAGTTGAAAGAAGAGACAAAACTTGGGCATTTTATTAGAAACGTTTCGGCATTAAAGTGACCAAGGTATCAGGATCGAAACATCTCCAAAAAATGTCTCGGTGTTTACATTTTGTGTCGTTTTCCAGCTTTATCAACACAGACAATAAAAAGCGACACTCAGCTGAGAGGTAACAATAAAGTTGTAGTGATGGTCATAACTATGGGAGGGGCTTGCTAGAGATGTAATTAAATTTGATGGCAATGATAGTGGTGGTCAGGTGCTATGAGACAGAAGAAATAGTAGTAGTAATAGTCAAATAAAATTGTTCAGGGCTTGTTATATGATTTAAAAAAAAATTATCGTAAGAGAGGAACCTAAAGACGTTTCGATCCATTCTGGACCATTGTTTCAGCCGCGGTATTGTGACGTTTTATTCTTAAGCTGAGCTGAAATTTATTTGATGGCCGCGTCTTCAAGAAGACTCTTCATTTTCTAGCTTTTTTTTTTTTGGTAAAAACATTCCATCTTAGTCTTATTTGTATGCATCAGGTCGATACTCGTTTGTAGTGTCTTTTTTTTGGTTGGGGGGGGGGCAGGGGGAGTGAAACAGTCGACGCTACTTCTGTTTTTTTTTTTCTAAGTTATAGGCTGTAGATGGCTGCTTTAATCTTTATTCCTTCTGTTATTATTTCTAAAAAAATAATCCATAAACCTGCTATAGTCTTGATATCATTTTTTTAATGGTCATTGCAGTGTGTCTTATGTGATATCCTAATATGAAATAATGTATCCGTTATTCTCCCCCACTAATTTTGTTTCTACTGTTATTAACATGTCAGAGTTTCCTTTTGTTGGAGATAGTCAACATTTGATTATAAAACTTAAAAGGCTCATTTTAATCGGTTGTGATGGCGCTTGACATCGTGTTTGAAGTAGTTCTGGTGGAGGTTTAAGATGCTGTGGGTTGAGAGTAAGCGTTTGTGATGTAGGGATGGAAGGAGGAGTTTAGGTATGTGATGTTGATATACATTAGTGGTAGAAAGTGAAATGAAGTTTATTGTGTTGGATTGGCGTGTGAAAGGTCAGAAAAGTTGTTTGATATGGAAAAGGGAGAGTGGTGTGAGGTGGCGGTAGGAATTGGGAGGGACGGGGATTTAATTGGGACACTGGGTCGGAGAGGAGATAGGAAGCTGCGCCCTGGATTTGTACAGTTAACAGGAAGTCTTTCCAGAGCACATTTTTTTTATTCATAAAAATTCTTCACCTGTAACGCAGAGCAATATAATTTGGTCTCAAAACGGTTGTCGACATAATATTCACTTTTATGTCTATTTATTTACACTTGTGAGTGTAAATATTTAATGTACAGTGAATGTTTCTTTACGACGAGCAGTAAATGATATTAATGTTATTCAGAGTGCCTGTGATTAGTGAGAGGACGCCAAAACTAGGCCACCGTGGCCTCATTCCACGTTTCAGTGAACCAACGGTGTTGAAACTGTTGCTGATTCAATGATGTACTCGCATATTTGTGGCTGCAGGGGTCGAGTCACAGCTCCTGGTGTCTGTGTGTGGGGGTTACTCACCGAGTTGTTTGAGTGTGTCGAGATTTAGCTCATGTTCCAGATTCTTAGGTTAATTTGATCGGCATCGCTTCTTACCTCTTGAACTTCTTAAATATACTCTTTAAGGAGTGTGTGCGTGTGTACTCTCCTATTTGTGGTTGCAGGGGTCGAGATTCAGCTCCAGGCCCCGCCTCTTCACTGACCGCTACTAGGTCCTCTCTCTGCTCCATGAGCTTTATCATACCTCGTCTTAAATCTATATATGGTTCCTGCCTCCACTACATCACTTTCCAGACTATTCCACTTCCTGACCTGTGGCTGAAGAAATACTTCCTAACATCCCTTTGACTCATCCGAGTCTTCAACTTCCAATTGTGACCCCTTGTTTCTGTGGCCCATCTCTGGAACATCCTGTCTCAGTCCACCTTATCTATTCCTCTCAATATTTTGTATGTTGTTATCATGTCTCCCCTAACCCTCCTGTGTGTGTGTGTGTGTTTTTCCACCAACATGTCTTAAGTTTACACACACGTTTGCTTCTAATTCTCCCTCCTGAAGAACTCGTCCGTCTATTAAATCATTATCGCAATAGACGTAATTTACAGCCTTGTTATATGGTCTTGCCAGGGACGAAACTGCCTAATTTAATCCCCCCTCCTCTTCAAAAAAAAAAAAAAAAATGCTTGTCTCGTCACGACGGGAAGCGCTAAACATACAGGGTTCGTCAAGTAGAGTGCCACTGACTTCTGGCCTCATGTGCCTTATCGTACCCTCTTTACTAAAATTATTTAGGTACAGGTACACGAGTACAATTATCATGCATAGTAACGTATGTAAATTACCCAGGACAACCTAAAAAGTCTCAAAAAGTGACTTATTTCCAATGTGGTCTTTGTAATGTCTTAGAAGCCTAGTAATTAGTTACATTAGAAATCAGTTATGATTATAATCTTAAAAATTAAAATAATTAAGTAACTCGGCTGTTTGAAAATCAGTGTACTTCTTACCTGTATATGGTGATCATGATCCAAGGTATTGGAGCTACTCTTCCCTTCCATGGCTCATACCTGGAGCTATGCAAATCTCGCGGGTTTAGCGCTTCCAAGCGAATAATATAAATTCATAGAGGTCATATAGCGTCTTGGGAATATAAGGTATCAACATTTGATCCGAGGAAAAAAAAAGAGAGTTCCTTGGATCAAGAGCACTTTTTTCAACAAGGCACCTCCCATGAAAATTATTTTAGTGTAATGAAGGTGAGGTGGGATGGGGAGTATGAGGGATGGGGAGTATGTGGGATGGGGAGTATGAGGGATGAGGAGTATGAGGGATGGGGAGTATGAGGGATGGGGAGTATGAGGGATGGGGAGTATGAGGGATGGGGAGTATGAGCGATGGGGAGTATGTGCGATGGGGAGTATGAGGGATGGGGAGTATGAGGGATGGGGAGTATGAGGGATGGGGAGTAAAGTTACTCATATCTCTCTATCTTTATTTCGTTAATTATTATAAGCAAATTAAATGCATCAGAAGCCTTTTAAATTTCAATACTAATGCTGACAAATGACCCCAAAAAAAAAAAAATTACCTTAAAATGTAAAAATTCATTTTTATATAATTTTTGCAAGATTTTTTTTTCAAGATAAGAAATGTATCATTAGTTACAGGTACAACATTTTTACCAATTAGAAGATGCGTGTGTCCGCTGCTGTATCCCAGCCGGGATACATAACTTAGTACACTTTGTGGAGTGTACTAAGTTATTAGGTAAATGGTCACAAGTTCAACTAATGTGGTATTTTATTGTGGCAACGTTTCGCTTGATAAAGCTGCTGGAGAGCGAAACGTTGCCACAATAAATTATCGCATTAGTTGCACTTGTCTTTTTACCTGGCATATTGTCGGTAATTTTACTAACATTATTACAGTGTATTAAGTTCATTCCTCATTTTTTTTTTTTTTGTTTGTGGGGGAATTTCTAACAACTTATATTTTTGTGTGAAACTGTGAAAACCGGAATTTAAAGGACTCAATACAACAGATTCTTGATTTTCAGAGATGCATAAGCTTTCGTTCACATGTCAACTTTGTCAAGTGAATCGAAAAGTTAACTTGACACATCTCGCTAGATGTGAACGAAACATTGTGTGCCTCAGAAAAATGCAGATTCATCTTAATATTAATGTTGCACAGTGCATGCAAGCAGGTACGACATGTGCAGCAGTTAGGTATCTTTATTGTCATCAATGAAGATACCTAACTGTTGCACATGTATCTTAATCTTCAGTTCTATTTTTTCTTCAGCCTTTATTGAAACGCATTTATTACCGAATAAGAAAAGATTTAAATATATGAACTTTTGTACTTTTATGCATAAATACTGTGTATAATTGTATTAAAGATGGAGTGGCAGAAGTCAAATATTCAAATAGCCTCAAGGAGGAATCTTTATTTCCTGCTTGTGTTCTGTCATCTACACCTAATAGAGGACCCTATTTATATATAAAAATGGGATAGGTACTCCTATTGCCTTTTATCCAACACAAAAGAGAACTTTTCATATATAAAAATGGAATAGGTCCTCTTCTAATGCCTTTTAACATAAAAGAGGACCCATTTATAATGGAATTGGTACTCCTAGGCTTATACCACTCTTCTAATGCCTTTTAACATAGGACCCATTTATAATGGAATTGGTACTCCTAGGCTTATACCACTCTTCTAATGCCTTTTAACATAGGACCCATTTATAATGGAATTGGTACTCCTAGGCTTATACCACTCTTCTAATGCCTTTTAACATAGGACCCATTTATAATGGAATTGGTACTCCTAGGCTTATACCACTCTTCTAATGCCTTTTAACATAGGACCCATTTATAATGGAATTGGTACTCCTAGGCTTATACCACTCTTCTAATGCCTTTAACCAACATCATAATTTTAGTGTAAACAAATGAAATTTCTTAAGAGCTACAGACAAAACGTGAAAATACTGTATCATTTTTGTCCTCTGATATTTTCTTTGCAGCTGAGTTTGTCTGACGCGATGAAGGCCAAGGCGCGCATGTCCATCACTGGAGGCAAGGATATGGATAACGGAAGAGTGAGCACTCAGGTTTTCTGGCAAATTTTTTTTCAACTTTCATTCTGTAAATTGTAAGCTTGTGGCGTCTATTTTTGTGTAGTAGAATTTTTTTTTTACGTTGAGGCGTTGGGGAAGGGTTTTTGATTCAGGGAAGTGGAGCTATCTTCTACTTGCATCCAATTTGATCACCAGCCATTGCTCATGTGCTGTATGATACCCCTACGGATTTAGCACTTATGGATATAATTATTTTTCTGATTGCCAGTTAATGGCTCGGATAATTATCGCTTCCCTTCAGTTTGGTCTCGGACCAGGTCTCTTAATTGACATCTTGGTCATTCTGGCTGTTGGTACTCGCAACGTGCGGGTCACTAAAAACGCTCGTAGGGGAGGAGACTTACGACAGTTATCAAGCTACAACCGAACGTCGTATACCTGGAGACGGTTTCGGGGATCAACGCCCCCCCGGCCCGTGGCCAGGCTTCGTCGAAGGTTAATCGTCTAAGTGTGAGACTTTTGATGAATTGTTCCAGCCACGATATTGTGACTATTCATCCCCTGGCTCTCAAGAACTAGCGTTTTTTTTTTTTTTTTTTTTTTTTTTCAGATTTCCTTCTTCACAGGATCCTTTTGGTAGCTTCTCTTACAACTTGAGGGAGAGTTGGTAAAGGCAATGAAACCTTTTTAACGCTCTTCACTGGAGCGCGATAAACCCGTAGGGATCATACTGTGAGTGAGAAATGAGATGCAATCAAGTTTGATTTAAGGAAGGGGACGATGGCTCCTATTTCTTGAATCGAGAAGACTTAATCAGCACCAGTGTACTACTAACTCGTCACTGTCCATAAATTGTGGCCGTTATAGTCACTGAGTTATCTCCTAGTGTATTTACTGAGCAGTGCTTTTCTCTGGTGGTAATTCTACACCTGTAATATATATCTCGCCTAAAAAATGATTTTACAGTGTAGATTTTGAACCAAGTGTCTTAACATTTTCCAGATTTAAATTATGATGTATCTCTCTCGCCTGTATTCTTTGGAGTACGTGATGGGATGTTAGATTTTGTATGTGTGTGTTTACTCTCCTCTGTGTGGTTTTTAGGGTTCGAATCTGAGCTCTTGGCCCCGCCTCCTCTCTGACCGCTACTGGGTTGCAACTCGCCTCTATTCAAGAGACTTATCTTACTCCTGTAGTACTTGTGCTCCCCTATTTGTGGTTGCAGGGGTCTAATCATGGCTCCTGGCTCCTCCTCACTGGTCGCTTGTGTGTGTATGTGCACGTGCAAATATCAGATTAAAATAATTACTTTCAATTACACCAAAAACTTCTCGTTCATGTATATTAAAAGGTAAATCACATCATCACTGTGAGACTGTCTTCTGGCATTACCTTCGTGTTGACGAGGGAAGCAGTCTCGCCCAGCATCTTACAAAATTTCTAAATAGCTCGTATGGGTCAGTCAGCTCCTGGGGATTAGGAAGCAATCAGATTGCGCTTTTAGCTGGACAGGTGTTTCTCACTGTTTAAGACATATTGAGAGACGAACGTTTCGTCCCTTCTACTTAAAAAAATGGTTTGAAACTGGTGATAGGCTCTTTATCCAAGGCAATGGAGCTGCATGTGCATGAAGTCTAAACTCCTCTACTGGGTCGTGGTGACTTTAATCAAGCACTTTTTTTCCAGGTTATCTTAGCAGATGTACCTGGTGGGTTCTCCAGGGGGTCAGCGCCCCCGCGGCTCTATCCATCAACTGCTACATCAATTGTCAGTTTTCTATTGCCACCTCTACCCTACCATTAGCAATAGTGATAGATCTATCATTGCCACCTATCAGGTCCTAGGTCACTTCACCCAGCTATCACTAACCTAGATGACGGTGACCCAGACTACTGGGTCACTGTCATCCAGGTACAAAGTCATTAGTTACCAGTGAAAGGTCACTGCTCGTAATCACCACCCTCGAGGTGGCAGGTCGCCCTCGTCCTCTCCGTTACAAGTCCCATAAAAGTTAATTGCAACAATTTCTTATTGATCCAGAGGGACCATCTTCGTGACATTAGTGACAGCGGCCAGAGACCAGGCAGGCAGTTGCTCGAAACGTTCGAAATGAAGTTACCAGCTGTGTCAATGGTTTGAAACTTTCCTTCTGTGGCAGGTGTTCGGAGCGTCGTTATCCTTCTACTTGGGCACTATCCGAGGTCATTGATCGAAATGCGGTTCCCATCAAGGGGCTGTACTAGAGATCGAAGATATTAGTTACCTCTCTCCTTCCTCGGATTATATATGATCATATCCAATTCCCTAGATGCTAATAATTATCTAGACAGTTACTTTTTGTAACTTTCTAGATAATTATTACCACCTTCCCTCTCCCCTTGATTACATTCCTCTCACTCTACCTTAACATTTCTGCTTACCCTTTCACGCTTTTTTCTAATCACGAATCGAGGGGAAGCGTGAATCCAAGGCAAGAGCGTCCTAAAACACTCTTCCATTTCACATCCCCCGGCCCTTCTCTCTCCCTATTTTAACTATTTCTCCGTCCCATCCCCACTCTTCTTTTTTCCCACCCTCTTCAACCCTCTTTTCTGCTTTATCTCGTATCATTTCGTCATCGACTATCGCCCAACCATCTCTCTACTACTACTAATTCCCTCTTCCTCTTTATCCTTCTGCTCATCCTTTTTCCCTTTCCCTTCTGCTTCTTACCTTAAGATTACCCTCCTCTATCCTGTTGATCAACTCCCTCTCCTCCTCTGTCTCCTGTTCCTCCTCCTAATTAACGCTCTGCTAATGCCACTACTTCAAAACATCAGTTGATTGAACAAGCGAGTCAGATTTCAATTAGCAGTTTGTAAAGGCTTGTTGAAGTGTTGTAACCACTGCTGGTGACAGCTGCTACTGAAGCTGCACACATCCTGAAACCTGAGGCACTTTCTAGCCGAGAGAAGGTAGGGAGAGAGAGACGGACAGAAGGAAGGTAACAAAGAAGGGTCTTAGAAGGAAAGACAAGCAGGATAAGTTGAATAATGCAGGAGAGAACGTAGGACAGAGAAACGGGTAGAGAAGGCACGAAAGAGAAGACGGGAGAGTGAAGGAAGGAGAGAGAATTTACGACCTTCATTACGACGGCTTGTGTATAGCAAAGGAAGTTATGTATTTATTTGCATGTATTCTCAGTCAAGTCTGTGCTCATATTTATCTCTGAGGGCAAGCGAGTCTTAGGAAGGAGGAGCAGGGAGTGGGGGAGAGAATGGAGGAGGAGGAGGAGAATAGAAAGCTGGAGAAAGAAAGGTGGATGGGTAAGGCAAGAAGAAACAGAGGTGCAAGTGGTTGTAGTGATAGGGTTTGAAGCTGTGGAGGTGGGATTGAGGATGATGGTGACTTGAGAAGATATGGGGAATTTGTGGTGCTGGCATGGGTTGTGGTGGCGGCTATGATTGTCAGTCTTATTTTCATTGTTTTGCCAGTGATGATGGTTGCTGTCAGGTTTTCTTTATATCTTTGTGCCTGGATCGATGCAAAATATAAACTTTATTAATAACAATTCTTGAATGTGTTGGGGGGGGGGGGATGCCCGTGTATCATTAAGCTACGCAATTTTCGCTTACGTAGAAATTTAACTATCACTATTTGCTGCTGCTTTCGCTTTCCTAGACACTGTACAACCCCTACCTATATCTAAAATAATATTAATTACTCTCAATATCTTCATCCAAACTAGATTAAAGGAGGGAACTATAAAATCCTTCCTTCTAAATGCCTTGAGAAACGTATTACATCATCTGTGACACGTTTACCTTCAAATGAGGTTCCTTGATACCTGCCGTTTCCCAGGAGCTTTATAACCAGTTCATCGCTTCAACCTCAATATATCGTTAATTTGAAAAGTTTCATTTCGCTCTGCCCCTTGATTCCTAATCCCTGATGACTTTCCCTTGCTGTGTTCTAGGACCCACGCAGATTTAGATTATTTTTTTTAATAAACTATTAATACCACTAGTGCAAACCACATACGGGTAGCGAGCCGACTTCTCGTTTTCTTTGCTTACCCAGTGTTCTCTTGGGCATTGCCTCCCTGAAGCCTCGATTTAGGGAACAAGTTGTTTGCCCGGCAGCCACTTGCCCCAATGTAAACAACTGATGAAACAAATGCGTTGGTTAATTTTCACTTTTATATATTTGAGGTCAGATACTCTTATCAAATTTGATTATCTTCTCTTCTCTCGACGCCGTAAGACCGTTGCTTATTTACAAATTTATTTCCTCTCAATTTACACCCAGTTCTCCTTTCTCAGCTTCCTTTCAGTTCTGCATATTTCGTGGTTACTAATCTGGTTCCTCTCATCTCTCCCACAGTTCTACGCGCCGGCTAGCCAGATCCTGGATGGGGATGCCCTCCACGCCAACACCCACACCCAGGTCTGACGGCGGCCGCGCGCCTCCCACTGTCCCACGCCTCAACTCCAGCTGCTTGACACCACTTCCCAACCCAGCTCCCACGCCCAGCCCAGCTCCCACACCCAGCCTCACGAACCTCTGTACGGCCAGCCGTACAGGTTCTCCTACAGCAGCCAGGAGCAGCGGCGAGCATCGCAGGCGTCTCTGAGCATGACCTACGGGTCTCCGACCTCTCAGCCACTGCTAGGGCAGGCGCAGGCATCACAGACCCAGCCCTTCGTCTCGCAGGCGCAGATCAACCAAATGTTTACCTCCCACAGCTGCGACTCCCAGACGTCCCTCACAGCATCCCATCCCTTGAGGTCTTCGCAGGGATCTCTGGACGTGTCGCAGGTGTCTTGCGCCTCCAGTGGGCCCCCTGCGACGCCTGCGATCACGCACTCCACCTCCCTGCCTCCAGTGTCACTTCCCTCCACCCAAACACCGACGTCGCATATCTGTGCTGATTTTCCCTTTTAGAGTCCGTGTGTTAGTGACAGACACACGAGTGTAGATAATTAGTTAGGTTACTATTACTACTTTTGTAATACCAAAAAATGAATAACCTTCGGCAGTTAAAGCATGACTATCTATATATATATATATGACTGGCCCAAGTATTTAAGGGGTTTAATTGTAGTATAACCACTAAATTGTCGCCTTTGATTCAAAGTTTTAAGACAAAATTTTCATATATCAGTATTTTGAATGTTTGATAAATCGCAACCAAGATATGCTTGGACAATGCTGTGCAGAGATTCCACGTCACCAAGGAGGCAGTTACCCTCGGCCTTTTCTCTTTCATTGTATCCCTATTAGGCATAATCGTCAGTGATTATTACAGTAGTCCTCTGAAGTCTTGTTTTCCAGGTAGGCTGCGTCAGGGTATAATGTGTGTCTACAACCTTCAAGAGGCACTCGTAAATGATACGACTCAACATTTCGACTCAGAGCGACAACCTTCTCAGCGTTGTCGTTCTTGGTATTCATTTTCTTGACATAATTACCGGTCTCTCGCTCCATTCTGCTGGAACAACTTCAAAAAAAAAGTTTGGGGCAGTGACACTTTCTCGATCTGAAGATTGGTACTAGTGACTAAACTGGAGTGGTTTCAGAATCTTTAGCTTCACTTTCCCCACTGACTTGGCCTTATCACGAACCAGGATGAGCTCACAGAAATCAACGCACTGCTGAGAGTGCAGTTATTGAACTCTTATTTTCCAAGAGTTTAAGGTTTTTACCCTCCAAACTAGTTGGAGGAGAGGAAGATGCTACCGGGAACCTGGAAGACCTATAGTGACGCACTGCACACGTTGCAAGGTATTTAATCCCAGTGTATTTGTCGTCTTTAATTGAAAAAGAATAGTGGAATTACTCGTGCTATCCATCTAGTACCTTGTAGAGGCCCTGGTTTATGAAAGTAAACACCACTGGGGAAAACGTCGGTTATGTAGTTAATGTCAACTCAAGAAGCATCTTTGCAACTTGCTCTCATATCGATTTCCATAGATTCTTCCCTTACTCTACGGAGGACTGAGCCTCTGGCCTTCTGTACATACATCAGCTTCGCTCATGTGGTGGCGGTATGAGAGGGAATAACTGTTGATTTTTCAGTTATTGTTGAAGCTTGTTTACCGCCTGAATTTTGCTGACTTTTTACAGTGTCTTGAAACTTTTATATTTTCTGAATCTTTGGCAGCGTATGATCCCCGGCTATGTTAGGTATTCTTGCCATTTTCCCTAAATTTTTCATTTTTGTTCTCTTGTTTGTAGGATATAAAAGATGCCACAGCGCATCTCCGTTATTAAGAAGTAGGTATTTTACCACTTATAGCTGCATAGCCCTTCTGGCATAGAGCTTTTTGATTATAATAATAATACCACTTATAGTTTCATTTTTCTGACGGATGAACTATATTTCTGTTTTCGTCTCTGTCTGTATTGACTTTGCCAACTTTAGATCAACAGCAAGTAGGGGAGAAAACACACAAATAAAACAGGTGTATATGTGTCACAACAACCCTCTCATCTTCCCCCGTAATACAACAGACCCATACCACTATGGTATCATACCTCCGTGAACGTGTATACGATTCCAACAGTCGAGTATCGTGTTACAATGGAGTTAGACTGCTGGCAACACTAATATATATATATTCTGGATAGCTATCAAGGTTATTTGTACCGAGGACAATAATTGGCCTGAGAGGCGGTACTCGGTTGCTTTGAATTAGCGGAAACTGTTATAACATTTTAAAACGCAAACATGTTAGCAGTATTAAGGGGTGAAATTTGTATTTCAACCAGAAATATTTTGGGTCCAGTCCTATATATATATATATATATATATATATATATATCTCACGAAACAAGTGATTTTGAATCATTAACAGAACTGCGGCTTGGCCGGGACTCGACCCTGCGTTCCCTTGCCCAGCCCTGTGTGAACTGAACAGAGTACGCATCACTCTCTCCATTGGACCACCATCCTTACACAACAAGTGCCCAGCAGTATTGAGCGTGTTATCCTGATGCACGCTCAGTACTGCTGGACACCTGATGTTTAAGGATGGTGGTCCAGTGGAGAGAGTGATGCTTAGTTCAATTCACTCAGGGCTGGGTATGGGAACGCAGGATCGAGTCCTGTCCAAGCCGCAGTTTTGTTAATGATTCAGAATCTCTTGTTTCGTGATTTCATATATATATATATATATATATATAATATATATATATATATATATATATATATATATATATATATATATATATATATAAATGAAATGCTGTAACTGAGAAACGATCAACAAGGTTAGATACTCCAATACGGCTATTGTGTGGCCAGAACTCGACTGCAAATATTCTCTCGCTCTGTCTGAAAGTTGTGTAATAAGTTAAATCGTCGATGCCAACGATATATTCCCTAGCTTTTAACTGCCTGACTCTCATCACTAGGCAGATATATGAGCACGGCGTGAGTGGCACGTCAACTACCCTCCTCCTCCTCCAGAGACAGGCACGTCCTCACCTGTAACACCGTGAAGGTCTTTCTGTGTAAGTTCATTTTCCTTTAGGGGATCTTTTCTGCCCGAGTAGGTAAGGTAATTAGAGTATAGAGGCTCAGGATGGAAAATGCAATGGAAGGGAAAGCCTTCTGCTGTGACAGTATTAATACTGCTGAAAGATACTATTGGTTTTGATCGTACGACGACAGAAACGGACAGTTGGGTGACCCAGCGTCGGGAACACCAGGGAGCTCTCAGCTTCGTCAGAAGTTCGAAATACGTGTAAGCTCGGTTTATCTCCTGTGTAACCGTTGTGACGAACTATGAACACTTGTGATCCGTTGTGGGCATTTCTAATCTCTTGTGAACCCTTGTGTGACACTGATGATCCCTCGTAATCTTTCACTAGCTCAGCATATGGAAGCCCTGGAGAATATGTGAAGCATTGCAAGTACTTGTTCATAGATTTGCTCGCGTTGTGTGGCACGATTCTGTGATATTCTGTTTTAGTTTGAGAAGCAGAAAGGAGGCATTATACTGTACATCAGCGACCATCTCCGAAGAGTCGTCAGTCAGGCATTATTTGCCATAACCTACAGAAATATTGAGTTCTCTGAGATTATGCATCACACATACACACCCACACCTACCTACCTACAGTTACATTATGTATTAAGAATCAGGCAATGTAGGTGTGTTGGCTCGTACACGCAGTGTGGACGCGACGGAGATTAGTATGTTGCCAGGCTACAGCTAAAGACTTTAATGATTGTTTTGGTTATAGTGATGAGTGTATGGTAATGATTTAGGGATTACACATGTTACTTCCTTGGTTGTGGGGGGATAGTGGTAATGATATAACTATAAGGTGGTGGTTGTTGTGTGTGGCAAGATAGTAAGAGTGTGAGTCATGTGATGCTGATTACGTAGGTTATGATGGAACAGATGGTGGTCGGCAAGATCTCAAAAACGAAGACTAGGACATTGATGTAGCAAGAGGAAATAGGCTTCCAATTAAGTAACTTACGACAGGCTCGCACCTTCCTCGAACGAGAGTTGGTGATAAAAATCTTTTCTTTCTCTAAAGTCCTTGTTTGCCGATCAAAGCAGAAACGTTAAAATGTGTATTTGCGAGATTTTTCACTATCAGTTACTACAGAAAGAACTGGGAGTTCAAATATACATGTATATATAAAAAAAATCTAATGGTTATTCCTTGGGTAGCTGCTATGCGAGTGACACAGCTTTTGTGAACACTTTTGTTTGAGAAGATTGAAAGAAGCTATTTTTATTTCTACACGCTGTTGCATATCTGATTTTTCATGTGTGTTGGGCTTTGTTCTCCATTGACTTAAGCTACAATGAGTTACTAAACTCTGAACTTCAAGTCTAGTCAGTATGCAAGATATGTTTCAAACTAGAAAAATTCTTGCACTACGAAGTAAAGTCGTGTTACAAGGCACAGAGGTTTTATTAGACGATATAATCTAAGTATTAAGGAAAAAAAAAAAACCCGCCGGTGCTGTACCACGCCCAATATGTGGATATGGGTTACATTACCTTCAGTGATCAGTCTGTTGCAAGAATTTTTTGGGGGCGGCCCACTCACTACAAGGAGCAATATACCTTCTCTCCTTGCTCCTCCCAGCAGCATCGTGTCGGTCTGTTTTGCTTGGTCAACGACACACCCGAGTTACTGCAAAGAAACATATCAAGATTAACGTTGTAAGTCTTGTATCAGGAGAGGATGTTTCACTGTAAATATCATTCCCTTACATGTGTCATTATAGGTTTAAATCATTGTCCATCATATATACATAAATACTATAAATATATATATATATATGCCAGATTTTCCTATTGGACTTATTTAAAGTGTCTGTGTGCGTAGCCTGTGTAAATACAGAGAAACCTTGCGTTGTGCTTTTTAGAAACCTCGAAAGGAAACCACAGGAACTGTTCATAATAGTGGTTTCATTTGGTTATGAAGCGCCGAGTTCTCTAGGCTTACGAAGACCTCATTGACTTGCACGTCTCAGCTAGCTAGTAGTTTAAAATGAATATTAACATGTTAAACTTTTAGGATTGATATGTTTTCCTTTTCTAAATATGGTGGTGCCAAAACTGTTTTATGTGTCATAATTCTGTCACTCCAGACCCTGTTGTTGAGACAATTACAAAAAATGCAAACCTATCGTTTTTTTTATTGATGAACAATATAACGATAAATAAAACCAATGTATATAAACATTTTGTAAGGTGTATAAGAGAGTCACAAGTTTGACTCATGTTTGTTCCAGCTTTTTCATGGATAGTTTTGAGGTTATTAGTTACAAATGCAAATGCACTTCTCCCCCTCTCTGTATATTGGTATGGTCCTCCGTCTGGCTAGTACCAATACTGCCACCTGCCTCGCCAGCCCCTTGAACAAGGTTTATATATATATATATATATATATATATATAATTAATATAAAATTTAATAACTAGATTTTTTCCCAATATGACAAACTGTTAAAAGAGATTTTTTCCCATAATTATAGATTTATATAATTTTTTTCTTATTTATAATTGATGTAATTTTTTTTGGACCAAATCTAGCATAGAAACTTCACTTAACCCAATTTATTTTTGCCAAATTATACTAAATATATTGAAGATAAGTAAATTTAATATTACAACCATTAATACGTATTTTTCTGGGTTATATTGACTGATTTTTCACTGATTAATAGCAAAAACAAATTTTCACTGTTCATTTAGCAAGAAAAAGCCTTACTTTTTAGGCCTAACTCGCCGATATATAAATAACAGTTTTCCGAGATATTAGAAAAGACAAGATTTTCTTTACTTTCCAATACTTAGCCTTTTCTTCCTAGCCTTTGAGGTATATAATAATTTTGAGTAATAAAACTTGTTACTCAACGGTTCTAGGAAACTAAGTCATGTTGTTAAATTAATAAAATTACTAACAGTGTGAGACAGAACAGCTCGAGAGAAACTAATATGGTATTTGTGTCGGCTACGTTTCTCTCTCCATGAGGTTTCTCTAGTTTGATAAAGCTCGTGAGATCGAAATGTAGACGTAATAAGTCTCGCTAATTGCCCCTGTGTTCATTTAGCTACCCTGGATTAACACGAGTTAACATCGTTCACAGGTCTGGTGTTGGCTCAAAAGTGTACTCCGAAGAGCATTGCAAACACACTTTGTAACTTTAACTTTGTAGGAAATAAAGGTGACGGTTTTTTACATAAAATTTGTCTTCTGACTAACCTTCTCTCTCTAACTTGGTAGCTTTGGTCGGACAATAAAGTTACACAAGCGTGTAACTTCCACCTTTCCACACACACAGGTGAGTAACTTACCCTCCCCAATCACTCAAGCAACAGAGAAAGACCTCAGTTAGCAGGATTCGAAACCACGTTAGGGAAGGTTGGCAAGGTTCCCCAAGTGACTCTTTAGAGTCCACTCGGCCACAGATGTCTTAAAAGCGGGGCTGGCATGTTTCTTCGCTGCCCGAGTCCACCAATGGGCCACATAGTTTTAATCTATTTCATTCTCCTGTATGTTCTAACATCACAAGCGATTTTTATACCGATGCATCACGCAGAAATTGGCTGGTATATACAGAGAACGATCGCAATCAGCATGGTTCGAAACCACGTCATGGGTGTCTGACAAGATTCCCCAAGTGATATCCTAGAACATTCGATCATTGATGCCTCAAAAAGCTGCCCCTAAATTTTCATGGGAAAGCGGTAAACCCATGAGGGTCTTCAGCTCCTGGAAACTGGGAGGCGGTGAATATTAGGAATGGACGTAAGTAGGGAGGAAGAAATGAAGTTCCTGTTGTGGGGAATGGAGACAGCGAAGAGTTGGCGTGAGTAGGGTGGAAGATGTGTTTGAAATGGTCGGAGTATGAGAAGTCGCCTACACAGTAGGTTTCTTCAGTCAAATACAGAGAAAGCAGGTGTAGTGAAATAGAGATGTAATCAGTCCATCAACCTTGGAGAAAAAGCATTTGAGGTGGTCAGTTTCTCAGCCAGACTGAGGGACTGACCACCTAAAATGCTTTTTTACCAAGGCTGATGGACTGATTACATCTTTATTTCACCACTACATCTGCCGCCTCTGTATCTGACTGAAAAAGCCTACTGTGAAGGCGAAACGTTTCACTAGTAAAGACACCCAGCTGTTGCACACATCTTAATCTTCAACATGTCGGTATTTTACACGATTTTCAACAATGAGGAACCATGTTGGTTACGATCAATGCACATTAATACTAGTTACTTTAAAGATTTCATGATCAACACCCAGCAGCTTCCCTTCTCTCGCCCTCAGATTCTCCTTATAAGTTACATTTAGATTAAAATGTAACTTATAAGCCGCTACCGTACAATAGATTTAGAAGATTCACACTTAACCAGCTCACCATAAAGTTGATACTAAATTTACATTTTCAAAGCATTTCAGAAGAATATCAACGAAATGAGTAAGTGATTTTCTGAATGCGGATATTTGCGGCTCCATAACGTATGTTGTGTGTGTGAGGAACTGAGCCAACTTACTTTGGTCAAGCCTGATTAATTCCCATTCTGCAGTA